TTTTATTAGCATTTCATCCACATATCATACAATTCAGTAGTTCAATCATATCAAGAAGAGTTGTATAATCATTACCACAATCAATTTTAGAACATTTCTCCTTCCTTTTACTCATTGTGATTAGTGCAATTATCATTTTTTAACTGTGGCATAAATATACACAACAAAGCATTCTACAATTCCACAATATTTACATATATATATTATAGAGTCATTGATTACCCTCTTTGAGTTGTGCACGCATTATGGATATTCTTTTCCGAATTACTCCACCACCATGAACATAATAAACTCAATGCCCCCTAAGCAAAAACTCTTCTTCCTTCACCCATGGTAACCACTGGTCAACTTTTGTTCCTTTTCTTTTTTAGTAAATTTCTTGATATAATATTCATATATCATACACTTCCATAGTTAAGCCACTTTTTAAAAGTTATATATACATCATCACAATTAGTTCTAGTGCATTCATTGTTTGCTCTGCAATCCCCTTCCCCCTTGCACCCCTACCTTCCCCCCCACAGGCCCCATCAATTACTGCATTCACTCCTCTGTGCTCCTGGGTTCACAGACAGAGCTTTGAACTGCAAGATAAGAGAAGGAGGCACTTTGATGAAGGCTCCTTTTGTGTTTTTCAGGCGCCCCACACCAAGCTTTCTGCAGATGAGGAGTGGAAGTAAGTGACTCTCGTATTATTTATAGCTCATACACTAAAAAACAGATTTCTGTCTTAACAGTTTGAAAATTTGAAGGAACTTGCTTCAGTTGTAATTTCCCACCTAGAGAATGTGTGAGCAACAAAATAAGGTTCTGTGCACAGATGCATTAGACTGAAATCAAATGGGAATTCTTTTCCTATGGCACACCCATGCCACCCCAACACGGCTGCATCTGCGTCCATCACAATGTGGCAGTAAGTATCCGGTGAGTGGACACTCTTGGCCCATGACACACCGGGTTTTCTCTAGCTGATGTTTCTCCTGTGGTGGGATGACTGGACCATGTGGGAACCACATAACAGAATGAAAATGGACAGTTCCTCTTTATGATATTATAAGAAACAATTATGAATGTATTCCTACTCAATTGTTCCCCAAAATCTTCACTGCCATTGAGTCGATTCTGATTCATAGAAACCAGTTTTTGTGGGAGCAGGAAACCCTGAGAATGGCTGGTGGGCTTGAACCAACGATCTTGTGCTTAGCAACTCCTGCTTAACCCACTGCACCACCGGGGCTCCTCTTACTCTAAATACCAAACCCAAAGTCAGCTCTGACTCTAGCAACCCTGTAGGACACAGTAGAACAGCCCCATGGGTTTCCAAGACTATAACTCTTTATAGGAGTAGAAAGTCTCCTCTTTCTCCCGAGGAGCAGCTGGTGGGTTTGAACTGCTGACCTTGTGGCTAACAGTCCAACCTGTAACCACTACACCTCAAGAGCTAGGTGGAAATGATTAGTCCAGGCCTGTATATAGGTTATCATGTTTGATCAAAGCTTTTCCATTATATGCACACCATACAGCTTCATGTTACCAAGCTTATTTTGTATTATATGAGGATGTAAGTCCATTTTAAGCTGATGATAAACTTACACTTCTATCTCCATTGTCTAAGTTGAAATAATTGAAAACCTATTCACGGCATAGAATATTAAGTCATGATTTTGGATTTGGCACTATTGAAGCTATAACTACATTCTTAGGTTCGCATTTTTCTTCACTTCCCATTTATTCCGGAGAATGAAAAATATACACATATCTCTATCATAGGCTTCTACAAATCATTCTTGTCACCTCCACTCATCTTCCAACACAAAAGCTAATATAATATCATTTTGTTCAGTTCACTCACTGATCTAGATTTCAGGTTCTCCGTTTGAAAAAGGAAGAGGGTTCAGCACCGCCATGGCCCTTCCAGCCTGGCATTCTTAGATCCTGTCTCAGAAGTTGAACTCAAGCAGGCAGGATTCACTAGGCTCCCTGGACTCATTTCCACACTTTCTCCAGCAGGGGGCACCCCTGGGATTTGGATGGGGCCCTTTCTGAGGTGCTGGCAGAGAGCTGCATAGGGCGCTGCAGACACACTGATGAGGGAGGGAACTTAAATGATGCCAACGCTGTGTAATATGGGTGCACTGTTCCAGTGGAGGATATGTGAGTTATATGTCAATAAAATTGAGAGAAAGAAAATCCTACGTGGAGAGGAATTTAATTCTTAGTTCTTTTGTGCTGTTGCTGCTGTTATAAAGCTTGTTTGCAGACAGTTTTTAAAAGGGGGTTGCGGCATAGAACATTATCCTGCAGGGCTTTCAGACCAGTCCACTATCTAACAGTACACTGTACGTAGAAACTATCACAAGTGGAAACGACTTTAAGACATTCTGTTACTGACAGTGCCCCACTTGAAGCTGAACGCTAGTGCTCCTACTTAAGAAGTTATTAGTTATCAGAGTTGATTACTTTTTCCTCATTTTCACCTTGAGCTTCTCTTTCTTCCTCTAAGACAGTTGTTCCCAATCTTGGCTGTACCTTAGACTCTTATGGAAGCTTTAAAAATTACTGATGCAGGGCCCCTCCCCTCCCCAGAAACGGCAATTTCCCTGAGACGGGTCTGGCTAAGGTTAAGGAAAGCATGGTGGACTATACACTGGCTTGCTAGCCAAAAGGTCAGAAGTTTAAACCCACCTGTCAGTCCTTCCGTGAGAGAGAGATGAGGTGTTCTGCTCCCCTGATGATTGACAGCCTCAGAAATCTATATAGCGGGCAGCTGTCCTCACAACTAAACCAACAAGTAACATCATGATCAACAGAAAAAAGATGGACGTGGTGGAGGATTTCATCTTCCTTGGGTCCATAATCAAAGCTCATGGATGCAGCTGTCAAAAGACGAAGCAATGGATTGCACTGGCTAACTCTGCCGCACAAGACCGCATTCAGATGCTGAAAAGCAAGATGTTACTTTGAGGACTAAAGTATCTCTGACCCAGACCAGGGTATTTTCAATCATGTTATCTGGATATGAAAGTTGGACACTGAAGACCAAAGAAGTATCCGTGTGTTTGAATTATGGTGCTGACGAAGAATATTCAAAGTACCGTGGATTGCCAAAAGAATCGCCAACTCTGTCTTAGAAGAAATGCACACGGAATGTTCCGTAGAAGCAACTCTCACTGCCTTCCAGTCAATGAGGACTCACTGGGTTTCCAACCTGTGGGTTTCCCAGACTGTTAACTGTTTCCAGGAGGAGAAAACCAGTCTTTCTCCCGGGTTTGTTGGTTTGGGGGTTTCAAACTGCTGACCACGCAGATCACAGCTCAACGTGTAACCCCTTCGAAGCAAGAGGCAGGGAAAAAGAGACAGACTCTTGACAAAAGGGATCGACCCAGCGGCTGCAATGAAGGATGGCGAACGTGAGAACAAGTGTGAGGATGGTGCGGCCCGGCAGTCTCCTTCTGCTGGGGGTACAAGGTCGCAGTAGGTCGGGACGGCATCTAACAGCAACATCAAAGACAGCGAGGGGGCTCTGTTTTGTTTTGTCATGTCTTGGGCACTGGCTTTGCTTTTAACTACCTAGTGATGTCTGGTGGTAAAATGGTTAAGTCTGGTGGTTTGAGCCCACCAGCCATTCCACAGGGGAAAGTGGCGGCAGGCCCCTTGCATAAACATGAAGTTTACGGCCTTGGGAACCCGACAGGGCTGTTCAAATCTGCCCCACAGGATCACTATGAGCCAGGGCCTGGACACAATGGATTTGACTTTTTGGCTTTGACCCAGTCATCTCTACCTTCCAGCCACAGTTGAGAACCTCTGCTCTCCGCTTTCTTCCGGCCACGTCTGCTGACGCATCCAAGGGAGAAAATGCAATACCTTAGCCATTTTCTCGACTCTTATGCGACCCAAACCCAGAAACTCTCGGCCCTTAGCAATGTGTTTATGTGTCTACGATCACACGTGGGTCAATTCTTTGTCCCTAGAATGAAAAGAGGGAGAAAGACAGGCGTGTCTGCTTCCATGAAGATTTACAGTCTCAGAGACCCAGCCAGGGGCCACTATGAATCAGAGTCAACTTCATGGCGGTAGGTTTGGTTGGGGTTTTCGCAGGAAAATAGCTTATACAACTCGGGAACTCCCCATAACTCCGAGGTCAGCATACGCCCCTTAGTACTGGTACCATCTGCAGTCTGTCTTTTGACTTGAAAACAGTGGGGATGAAATTACCAATATTCTATTGGTTTGTTGTTGCTGGTTTTTTTTTTACTTTTGGAAATGGCAGTTTTATATGATTCCATATAATAGTCATTATTCCTGATCTAGGTATGAATAAAATAGCATGTGTTTCAGTTTTACAACCCCATAGCGTACAAAAGGGAATTCAGTTTCTCAAAATCAGCCCAGGTGGCATCGTGGTCAGGCATTTGGCTGCTAACCGAAAAGTCAGCAGTTCAAAACCCAAAGCCGCTCTGTAGGGGAACAACAGGGCTTTTGTCTCCTATAAAGAACACCAGGCTCAGAAACCCATGGGCAGTTCGACCCTGTCCGATAAGGTCACTGTGATGACAAAGGGATAGTAACCTGAAGTTTGAAACTGAGAAAACTGATGGCCAGAGAAAAGGCATGGCTTCCCCCAGGGGGCCGGGTAATGAAGTAGCAGGTCCAGGGCTGGAACTCAAGTCTTCCTGGGGCAGTGATCCGTGCTGCTGGCTCCATCACTTAGTCTGAAAAGACGAGGCCGCAAAGAAACCAAAGGGTTGGGAGGAATTGGCTTTGCTGATAGAACCAGGCTCCTTTCACCCATTCCTGCCCCAAACCTGGAGCCTGGGGAGGAACTGAGAAATCCTGATGCAAACATTATAGTCAAAGCTCAACAAGCCCTGCCTTGGAACCTTCCGATTTCCCTCTGTGAGCCCGGCCTGCCTATTGTCTGTCTGCTTGTTGTCCTGGTAAGCGTGCAAGGGTGGCGGGCTTTTTCAGACGGTCTCATTTGCCGCTTCCAGCCTGCAGCAGGAGAGGATGTACAAGGTGCATCGGGGCCACGAGTCCATGCACGTGGAGATGATCTTGATCTTCCTCTGCGCTCTGGTGGTCGCACAGGTGGTGCTGGTGCAGTGGAGACAGAGGCACGGCCGGTCCTACAACGTGAGTCTTTTCCTCCACCTTAACTAATAACAAAACACAAAGAAAGAAATAGTTGCTGTCAAACTAATTCCAACTCAAGAGGACTCTGTATGTGTCCAAAGAGAACTGAGCCCCCCAGGGTTTTCGAAGCAGATCACCAGGCCTTTCTCCCTAAGGCAAGCCTGGGTGATCTTGAACTCCCAACCTTACAATTAGCAGTCGACCAAGGTAACCAATTGCACCACCCAGGGGCTCTGGTGCTTTGGTTTAAACTTTAAAGCCATGGTTCTCGTGAAGGGTGAGTGGCATTTTGGCCCCAGGAAACATCTGGAGACAAGTTGTATAGTCTCGGTCAGGTGAAGGCGTGTGGTGCTGCTACTGGAACCCAGTGAGTAGAGACGAATGATGCTGTAAAAAACATCCTCTACAATGCCTAAGGCAGCCAGCCCCCTCACACATTATATCCTCTACAATGCCTAAGGCAGCCAGCCCCCGACAACCCGCAGTTATCAGCCAAAAATGTTCATAGTATTGCCAAGGTAAAGAAGCCTAGGGTTCAGTAAACCCATGTGTCTTTTGTGCATGAGCAATTTGGGTCAATGGCCCACGAAAAGGGATTCACTCTAAACCAGTGATTCTCAACCTTCCTAATGCGGCGACTCTTTAATACAGTTCCTCATGTTGTGGTGATCCCCCCCCAACCATAAAATTATTTCGTTGCTACTTCATAACTGTCATTTTGCTACTGTTATGAATCAAGCGACCTCCGTGAAAGGGTCATTCGACCCCCAAAGGGGTCACGACCTACAGGTTGAGAACCGCTGACTGACTCATTGTGACCCTATAGACCAGGGGTAGAACTGGCCCTGTGAGTAACCAAGACACTAACTCTTTCCGGGAGTAGAAAATCCCGTCTTTCCCCCACAGAGCTGCTGGTGGTTTCAAACAGCCAACCTTGCCATTAGTAGCCCAATGCATAGCCAACTATGCCACCAGGACTCCTAGGAAAGGGGACTAGGAATAGCAAAGACAAAAGTTTGTGGTTGTTACATTTTAACAAACTGTCTTGACATCAGTGGTTTTCAAAGGAGCTCACCTGGAAACATATTAGCACCAACACTGTGCTGATCGTGCAAACAGAGCCAGCCCCCGTTTTCACAGAGCAATCTCACTCCGGGCACGTCCACAGGAATCTGGTCATCTCAGATCCGCGGAGTCGTGGCCTGGGCCTCACTAGATCTGAGACCTCACTACCACAGGGTTAACAATAGTGGCTGTCAACCCTTAGAATGCATCCTCACCATCAGGAGGGCTTGTTAAGCCAGGTCCCCAGTGATCATGGACATGTAAGTTACACAGGGTTCCAAACATTTCCTTTAGACTCTATTGGCAATCATTTTTATGTTGAGTGAAAATAAAATACTGTTTTAAACCAGCAACGCCTCACACATTATAGTTTCTGATTACTGGCCTGAGGTAAGTCCCTCCAATTTTCAAGTCCAGCCGTTTCCCAGGATCCTTTCCCAGATGGAGCTGATGCTGCTGGGTCTGGGCCCACATTTGGAGACTGCTGGCTTAGCCTCAATCATGGCCTACCTGGTCCAAGACGACAGCGGGTGAAGGTCCTGAACCTCAGTTGTCTGTGGGCACTGGGTCTTGGGCTGGGCATTGAATGCCTGTAATGTGTGCTATGTTATTTAATCTTTGACTCAGCATAAAAATGACCTCCAATGTCCCATAGAGTCTAAAGCAGTGGTTCTCAACCTTCCTAATGCCGTGACCCTTTCATACAGTTCCTCATGTGGTGACCCTCAGCCACAGGTTGAGAACCGCTGGCCTAAAGGAACTTTATGAGTTCTGTGTAACTTTTACACGTAGCCCATCTTGGCCATTTTCTTTAGAAAAGGGGGTTATGGTTTATTTGATTTTGTTAAAAACAACTCTACCGATGTTCTACCAATGCACCATTGTTTTACCCATGGAAACATGCACCTTCTCTCCTGAGCTTGCAGGAGTCCCGGGGGTGTAGTGAGTCACACGTGGGCTGCTGACCACAAGGGCCGCTTTTAGAAACCACAGCTGCTCCACAGGCGAAAGACAAGGCTTTCTACTCCCTAAAGGGCCACCGTCTTGGAACCCCACCAGGCCAGTTCTACCCTGCCCTGTAGGGCTGCTATGAGCTGAAATTGGCTGAATGGAGTGAGGGAGTAAGTGATATTGAACGTGGGTGACTCTTAAAGGAAGGAAACTAAAAATAACCCCCACTAATTGCTCTCATCTTGAAGAGAAGTTCCTTAAATATGTCAGAAAGATGATGCCTTGTCTGCACAATGGAGATATCTGAGCTAGAATGAGTCTTTCCTTAACAAGAAGGAACCTGGATTCTTAAGAATCAGTTCATAACCCTGCTCCATTCTTTCAGGATAACTGATAACTGGCAGCAGTTCGACCTATTCCGTTTCCATGGTAATGCAGGTATGGGGCTTTGCATGAGAAGTTCTCTTCCCTGGAAAAGAAGGGCATTACCACATGAAGCAACTGATCTGCACGACACCCACCTCTCTTCCATCATTTTAATTTCAATGTCTTCCAGGCGGCCAAAAAGAATCTTTCCTTGTCTTTTACTGAAGATGTTGCCGTGTGTTAGCTCCCTTTATGGACATGTGGCTCCTCCCTGAGTAAATGAGGGTCACACACTGGCTCACCCTAACTATAGATAGGCCTTCCCACATGTCAACATCCCACCTTAAGACTTAAGACTCATTGCCATTGTAGGTTCTGACCCTGATCAGTCAGGCTACACCAGACCCAGGTGGGCAGCTCTGTACCTGACATCCTTGGACCTGGCAGGTTCTTTTGACTCATCCACCTGATCCACATTTAGCCCATCTTGGACGTTTTCTTTAGAAAAGGGGGTTATGTTTTATTTGATTTTGTTAAAGACAATTCTAGTGATTGTCTCCTCTTTCACTGAAAAAGCTGTGTTCCTGGGTTGCCTCACCAGGGTTGTTACTTTTGATCGCCTCTTCACTGAACCCACTACACATCCTACTTCTAATTGCTCCTCTCAACACCGCCGAGGCAGTGCTGACTCAGGCACCCTATAAGACAGAGTAGAACTGTCCCTGTGGGTTTCTGAGACTGTAACTCTTTTTTAAAAAATAGTTTTATTGGCACTTCACCCATAGATCATACCATTCAATAGTTCAACCATACCAAGAAGAATTGTACAATCTATACCACAATCAATTTTGGAACTTTTTCTCTGTTCTCATTGTTATTTGTGCAAGTTTTTCTTTTCACTTTTGGCAAAAATATGCACAACACAACATTCACAAATTCAACAACTTGTACATGTATAATTCAGTGCCATTGGTTATACCCTTCGCGTTGTCCAACCATTATTATTATCCCTCTCCAAATTGTTCCGCTATCATTACAATAAACTCAATGCCCCCTGGGGAAAAACTCTTCCTCCTTCACCCATGGTATCCATAGGTCGTTTGGTTTCTTATTTTTTCAGTAGTTTTTCTTGATATAATATACACTTCCATAGTCAAACTGCTTCTAAAATGAGTTGTGCATACACCATCACAATCAGCTCTAATGCTGCCTCCAATTCCACACCCCCTGCCCCATAAACTATTGCATGGGGACTGTAACGCTTCATAAGAGTAGAAAGCCTTCTCTTTCTCTGACAGAGCAACTGGTGGCTTCGAGCTGCTGACCTTGAGGGTCATGTATCCCATAGCTCCTATATTGTAGGGCAACTCAGAGGGGCTCTGTGATGCGAAGGATCACGCAGGAGCTGACCAGGTGACTGTGATTCCTGCACACTTTTACCATGGCCCTGTCTGCCACTGTGATGAACCCAGGAATCTAGAAAAAGATGCACCACAGTGTTTAAGGACACTTTTGTGTTTTATATGGGTCTCATTGGGACTCGTTGGGGCTAGTTCATTTCAGAGGCCTCTGAATATTTTCTAACATTTCTAGTATATTCTCTATTGCGTCTTTGCCCCTCGGGTCTTCTGTTATTGGCATTGTCCCAGAGAGGCAGGTTGAGTAGCCCTTTCTCCTGTCTTCTCTATGAGGGGAGCTGGGGTTTTCCACACGGAACCTCTTGCTTTTGCCCAGTGTTTTACAATCTGGTCACTTCTTGGGCCTTCGCTTGCAGGGCGTCAGAACACAGCTTCTTCGGGCTCTCTCAGGGATGTCTGCAACAGTTTGAGCTGGAAACGGTGCCCAGGGCACCAGTACCTTATTCTAATACCAGTTTCCAGCTTTCCTATTATATGTCACATAAACTAAATAATTTTTTAAAGACTAGACCTAATGCTTTACTCAATTTGATGTCTTTAATAGAAGTCTTCACAAATTCTCACCTAAGTCACCTTATCATACACAGAACACCTAGCATTAAAATTTGTTTCTCTTGGCAACTGTGTTTATATGGGAGCTACTAGAGATACTCAGAGCTTTAAACAGGTTTATAAGATTCATAGTTACATAGCAAAGTTTATTTCCATGATTCGGTAGTGTAGCATCCATCAATACAACGATCTAAAATAATAGGAATTATGATTATTGTAGCTGTGCTAAGTGTTTTTGCACATTTTCCTAGTTTCTCTGAGAGGTAATTCTTTTCTCCCGATTTTACAAGTTCAAAGAGATTACATATCTTGGTCAAGGTCATATAACTAATTGGGTGCAGAGAGAGGAGATTAGAATCCAACATCATAGCTAACTGCTCTTCTATCATGGGCTAGCTTTTAAAATATCTCTGAACCATGTTTTTCTTAGCTGAAAAATCGAACTACTAAGATAGGAACCTATCTTGCAGAGATGTTGAGAGACAGAAACATTTACCTGTGGAATTTCTAGCACAAAAAATGGTGCATAGTAAATATTTAGCAGCATGGGTTGATAGTGAATGAATTCAAGAAATGTGACATAGATAGAACACATAGCCACACACTGTAAAAACAATTTGCTAATGACAAAAATTGGAGGGTTGTTTT